TATATATATATATATATATATATATATATATATATATATATATATATATATATATATATATATATATATACAAAATAAAAAGGGACCCTTGGATTTGTTATAGCCCCATTGCCCAATGTGTGCTTAATCCAGCCCTGGTGTACTGTATGTGCTGTATGAGGTTGCTATGTGTTTTGAGATTCATGGTTTACCTGGCATAAAGAATGAACTGGGAAAGCTGCTGCCCGGTGCTTTAGAGGACGGGTAACCCGGTGAGTCCCGGTTATAATCGGCAGTGCTGGCGGACGGTGCGTATACCTGAAACACACACAAACACACACACACTTTCAACAACAGGCATTTGACATCATATTTGACATCACATTGACATTTCATATATTTATGATGTAGTTTCTAGAGAATATTAAATGAGAACACAGTGGGCGTGGCTTCTTGTTTTCTACTGCGATTGATTGGATGCAGTAAAGTAGGCGTTTCATTCAGAAAGATGGGTTAAAGGGTGTGGGGAGAGTTATTGCAACCTAGCAGACTCCTCCCCCTTATCATTACTGCCTGTTGTCTAAACTGACAGCTGGAGGGGCGTGGTTAAGTATGTTAGCCACGCCCAATATCTCAGACTGACCAATTTTTATGTCTTAATGACATTCACAGATGAATTGTTCACCACAAAACTAGCAATGTGAGCTAACCAATGGTGGAAAGAGTACTGAAAAATCATACTCAAGTAAAAGTACCATTCCTTGCCTAAAAATGAAGTGCAAGTAGAGTAAAACAGTCTGTTGTGAATATTACTCAAAGCATGAGTAAAGAGTAGAGCTTTTAAAAGTACTCAAGAGTAGTGAGGAGTGAGTATTACACTGTGAAAAGCTGATGCATTTACATGTCATTTGTGGATGTGTGTAAACGTAACATGCTGTAGTGCGTTTAGTTATTGTCCAGCAGGCACACAACGCCATAAGATGTTAATGTTAGGTTAGATTTAGGTTGTGACGTCAGGTGACCAAAGTGAAATTTCTAGTCAGCGTCTAAGGACAACATTATATTGATGTCCAATAAAGACGTCAAATGACCAATTTCTGTTTAACAGAAAGATTTCTTCAACACATTTCTAATCATAATAGTGTTAATAACTCATCTCTAATAACTGATTTATTTTATCTGTGCCATGATGACAGTAAATAATATTAGACTAGATATTCTTCAAGACACTTCTATACAGCTTAAAGTGACATTTAAAGGCTTCACTAGGGTAATTAGGGTAACTAGGCAGGTTAGGGTAATTAGGCAAGTTACTGTATAACAATGGTTTGTTCTGTAGACTATCTGAAAAATATATAGCTTAAAGGCGCTAATAATGTCACGATTACCAGCGATCGTACTTCATAAGATCGCTGGATCTCATTCACAATAACCATGGACTACAAATCTGCCATTTCTGGACTACATTTTCATACATGCACTCCGTTCACACTCACACATGCTTCCTCATCTAGACTGATTACACTCGCACCACCTGAGGATTGTCACACACTATGGCTGCATTCGAAACTGCCTACTACTGCATTTGAATTTAATTGTACTGCTCGGCTTTAGAAAAGTACGTTCTATACAGTATGAATGTGAAAAGTATGAATGGAATTCGGATGTACTACATCCGCCGTTTTAGTATGGAAGTATGCGGTTTCGGACACAGCGTATTTAAGCAACACACTCACTCATTCACATTGCCGAGTCTTGTTATCTGCCACAGTGACATTACAATGCGTTTTCTTAGCCCTGTTTTCCCATGTACTACCTCGCCTTGTTAATTTAGTTATCCCTGTCTGCCGCCTGCCTTCCGACCTCTCGCCTGTTATTTTGACTACGGCTGCATCTGAAACCGCATACTTCCATACTATATAGTAGGCTAAAATCAGTATGCGAGCCGAGTAGTATGTCCGAATTCATAGTCTTCGAAAATCAGTATGCGAGAAGTACCCGGATGACGTACTACTTCCGGCGAGATTTTAGAGTGCGCATCCCATGCATGCTGCGCTATCCCATAATGCCCCGCAAGAGAATTCATGAATAGAAGTAAAGCGATGCAATTGACGCAGGTAGGTCATGTGACCATGGCGGATGTAATACGTCCGAATTCTATTCATATTTTTCACATTCATACTGTATAGAATGTACTTTTCTAACGGCCGAGCAGTACGGTTAAATTCAAATGCAGTACCTACTGAGTAGAAGGCGGTTTCGGATGCAGCCTATGTTTCTGGATTGCCTTATACACCTGTTTGCACCCGTATTGCTTGCCTGACTATCCGAATAAACCTGCATGTGGATCCAAACTCCCCGTGGTCACAAATAATTTTGACCTTAAAGTGGTGTTTAAAAGGTCCCACTTTATATTAAGTGTCCTTAACTACTATGTACTTACATTAAAAATAAATGCAATGTACTTACTGTGTTTATAATGTATTTGAGAACACTTGTGGTGCTTTTGAGTTGGGATAGAGGTTGGGTTATGGACAGGTTTGGTGGCATGGGTAGGTTTAAGGGTGGGTTAAGGTGTAAGGGATGGTCAACCGTGTATTTACAAATGTAACTACAAAAGCTAGTTACAAATGTAATTACATACATGTATTTAATCAAGCATAAGTACACAGTTAATACATGTATTTACAAAATAAGTACATTGTAACAAACTATTAATTCCTGTGTAAATACATATTAGTTAAGGCCACTTAATATAAAGTGGGACCGTTTAAAAAATTGAAAGCTGCTTTTATTCTAGCCGAAATAAAACAAATAAGACTTTCTCCAGAAGAAAAAACATTATCAGACATACTGTGAACATTTCCTGAATCTATTCAACATCATTTGGGAAATATTTAAAAAAAAACTAAAATCAAAGGGGGGCGAATAATTCTGACTTCAACTGTGTGTTAAAACACATATAAGCGACTCATTCTTGAAAAATGGAGCTGTGTGCATGTGCACATGTGAATAATGTCGGGCTATATACGGGTTCATGCTTTTAAAAAGCTGTCAATCAAAATGTACTTGTCGGGGCTCGGGTCAAATTCGGTCGGGCTCGGACCCTATGGTGCCTAACTTTTATGGCCCGATTACAGCTCTAGTACAACGTCAATCTGATGTCAAGTTAATGTTTAAGGCCATTTCGGTAAACATCGGTCATCTTCTCATCAGTGACCTGCATCTAATCCAGGGGTCACCAATCCTGGTCCTGGAGGGCCGGTGTCCCTACAGGGTTTTGCTCCAACTTGCCTCAACACACCTGCTTGGATGTTTCAAGTATACCAAGTAAGAGCTTGATTAGCTTGTTCAGGTGTGTTTGATTAGGGTTGGAGCTAAAATCTGCAGGACACCGGCCCTCCAGGAACAAGTTTGGTGACCACTGATCTAATCAGTCTCTGTCATTGCATGTAGATTTTAAACATCTTCTTGGACACTTTTAATGCTTCCAAACAGTTTGCTGCAATTATAAATCGTCCATGTCTTGATGTAGTTTATTATGAGGTGATTTACCTTCTATGTGTGATTAGATTGTGTGATCACATTGCTCCAACATTACAATGCTATTATAACATTAGGAAGTAATAACTTTATTAACACATTGCTCCAACAATATAACATATCATTCATTCATTCATTTTCTTATCGGCTTAGTCCCTTTATTAATCCGGGGTCGCCACAGCGGAATGAACCGCCAACTTATCCAGCAAGTTTTCAAGCAGCAGATGCCCTTCCAGCCGCAACCCATCTCCGGGAAACATCCACACACTCATACACTACGGACAATTTAGCCTACCCAATTCACCTGAACCGCATGTCTTTGGGCTGTGGGGGAAACCGGAGCACCCGTAGGAAACCCACGCCAACACAGAGAGAACATGCAAACTCCACACAGAAATGCCAACTGAGACGAGGTTCGAACCAGCGACCTTCTTGTTTTGAGGCGACAGCACTACCTACTGCGCTACTGCCTCGCCCTATAACATGTTATAACATCAAAAACTGTTCGTAACGCTAAATCAATGGGAGCCCGGAGCTTGTGTCTTTGCAACGAGATGGTCCCATCTGGGGGTAATGGACAAAGACACCCAAAGTGTGTTGCTCAGGCCCTTGCACATCCAAAGGGCATGTGAAGGGTAAAAAAGGGGGCACTTTTGATCATTTTGGAAGGGCACTTTCTATCCAAGACTAAAAAGGGCATGTGCACTGCACAGGTTGAGCCCTATGTGTGCACGTGCCTGGTGTTGCTTATGTCCAGTTTACTCCTTTGCCTTGTTTTGGAAATGGCAAGAGGGTTTTCAGCGCTGTGTTAGTGATCTCTGGGTATTCTGCCCTGACTTTAATCCAGAACAGCGGCAGAGTTGTTGTCTTAAACACTGTTTTAGGCCGCCGTCATTTGCAATATCCAGCAGTTGGTCTTCTTCTTGCACGGACATGCTGGATCCAGCTAGTTTGTTGCCAAATGGGTCACGTAGTGGGTCACGTATTAGATAATAAATAAAACAGAAATAACTGATTCTTGTGCGGCCCGGTCCTGATTGATCCATGGACTGGTACTGGTTTGCTGCCTAGGGGTTTTGGACCACTGAAGCTGACAAAATCAATATGCTTGGTGTACTATAATGCAATCAGGGTCATCTTATCACGCACGACGCATTAACAATCAGCCTGTAAGACTGCTCTTCTCAATATCAGGGACAAAAGGAACGCTTTCCCAGGAACAATTTGCCGTGTTCCCAAAGTGTTGCAACACCATAATTTAGTGCAAATGTGAGAGCAGCAGCTGTGGCGGATCAGTGATGACTTCAGCACACAAACAGCAGAACATTCCCGTCTGGAAAAGTGCGCTGTATAATGACTGGCAGGAACGCTGGGAATACTGAGCATGGGATAAACACACAGCGGACGCAGTGTGCGGACAGAACGACCTTCAGAGATGTGAAAAACGCCAGAAATGCTCATTAGAAAGTACAGTATGTGCTGGAATACACACAGATTAGATCTCTCTAATGCCTCAAATGTTCTTAATGCAGGGTAAATGGAAACTCTAAAGGGATAGTTCACGCAAAAATCTAAAAGTAATCACTGTTTGTTTATTGAAGTGGATAGAAATGGAGTTTCTTTAATCTGTTGAACACAAAGCAAGATTTCTTTAAAGTAAGCTGAAACCATTGACTTCCACAGGAAAAATAAAACATATACTATGGAAGTCAATGGTTACGGTTTTGCAACATTTTTCAAAACATCTTCCTTTGTGTTCAACAGAAAAAACTCAT